TTTTTTTTGAATAGAAGGAGAGGAAGTTTCATTCTTTCAAAACTGTATTAATTTCTTTATCAGCTTCTACATTTTAGCTATAACCTCTTTCTAGTTTGATTTTCATATGAAATATGAATGCGATCTATTGCTTTATTGCTTTAGACTTTTCCAGTGGTTCAAGGGTTCAATCAGTTTATCAAGGACTCTTGTAACTTCGCTCAAAATCTAGTTGAAAATGCTAGCTTAAGTGGTACTGCTCTTGACCCATTAGGTCTTTACATATGGTGGAAGCCTTCATCGTGGTATCGAGTAATGTTGGAATCTCTTCACACAAATTACGACTTATCTTGGCTAGCTACTGTAATATCTGGTAACGTTTCAAAGTTTTCGGCAGTTTATTTTATTTACAAAAGTTCCCATTAATCTCCATCTTTTCTTATTTTGACTAAACAATTCTTCATTCCAACCATTATCAAGAGCAACATCACTGGTTAGTTTGAGATTTTCTTGTCATACTGTTAAACTTTATGCTACTGACAGATGTTTGAACTTAGTTCTAATCAGTATCATGAAGTGGTGATCAAAATAGCAATAGAATAGAGGAAAAATTCGTTACTCACTCAAACTTTTTATGTGATTTTTAATTATGATACAAAAAAATTTCATCTGAATCAGTAAAATCAGATCAAAGCTGCAGTAAATGATTTTTCTATCATTTTTTTCAGCTACATTGTTAATTCGAATGGCTACCTTCTATTTACCTGGGATGATTTTATGGAAAAAAACGAGAAGGAGAAAAATCGAGCTTTCATTATTGTCTCGTAAGCGCTTGTTTAAATTATTTAGTTCAGTATCATGAATTTTCGTCATCAGTGCAATATATAATGCACAGGAAGCAAAAAAAAATTTTTTTTTGATATCTATTGTGTACCTTTTCGGAATTTCTTTTAGAAATGCGGAGTGGATTTGTGTCATGCGCATTATATTCTTCGAGTTTTGGACTTTTCATAACACAATACTGTGGTTTAAAAAAAATGGCTGATACAGTGTATGTTTCTTGCTAATCAGCTAAATTTATTAAAAAAAATAAGAATTTTATGGATTCATTATTCTGCCAAAATTTGATTACTTCTAGTTATCCTGGCTGGACTGCAGGTGGTTTATTATCGTTCACCGATTTAACCGTACCAGATCCAGTAGTGTTACCATTTGTTACTGCAATTTGTTTTGCTATCACTAGTAAGGTAATAACAAAAATTTTTCATCTGTATCTTAAAGGTTTGGTGTGTATTATTGAACTACTGACGTATTACAGTATAAAGCAGATGTCCAAAGCTCCATTTTTTTCGCGTCTTTTGCAACTGTAAATACAAATGATGAGTCACTGCATGTTAGAGTTAGAAAGGGTGAAGAAATGATGACTTCGTAAGAACTCACAGTTTTGCTTTTCAGAATTATATTTGTTGAAGTCGATATTGTTTGATTTCCAAGTGTGCTACAGTGAATTCGATATAATTAATTTATGAAATGTTTTCTCTATAGTTTATTATGCTAATTAGCCAAAAACAAATCATGATTAAGTGGAAGTAGTTATTTATTTATGGAATTATTTTTCAGAAATGGATTGAAACATTAGAAATGCAAAAAACTGTTAGTAAATGGTTGCTCGGAATAAAACCAGACAACGCCATATATCCTATTGTTGCATGTTCATATTTTGTAGCATGCAATGTTCCTTCGGTATTTCAATTCATTATTTCGTTATCAGTCTCATAAAGTTCTCATTTATATTCCCATATCATCATTTATTTATTTGTCTGGTCTATTAGACTCAGCGATTTAGGTAGTGAATTTTTTCTTATCGCTGTTTTAATTCTCACCAAAAAAGGACTGGCATAGTTTGTGACTTTTTCGATTGAGTTGTGTTTTACTGTTTTTTTTTTGGGCTAGAAAACTTTATTCTCCTCAAGTAGGTGTTTATTTAGTCATTCACTTTAGATTGTGTGTATCTATTGGATAACTTCAAGCATAGTTAGTAATGTACATGCAACAGTGTTAAAAAACCATTTTGTGCGATCTTTATTGCATATACGGCCACTAAATTCTTTTTACGAGGAATTTCGCCGCATTGAATTGCTAACCATCATCAATGGTATTTTTCGTTTCATGAATCTTTGATCTAAAAAGTACGTGAATTAATATTTTGATGGTTTCTGTCTTTTCGGTCTATGTATAGGTGATGTCTGCATTTTATCTTTCTTTCATGTAATGAAGTTTAAGAGTATTGAATTTCATTACGTAAAACGTTATCATTTGAGGTTTTTCCATTTTATTCAACTGAAAGTATATAATTAAGAATTAATTACTATAGAGGAGAAAATTTTTGACGATTGATCAAATGCTTAGTTTTCAGAATTAAAAATGAAAAGAACTGAAGTCATGACAGCAACTGTCAAAAAGAGTGACGAGGCTGCAAAAGAGTCGTCTGAAGCACGGCAGTTAAATAAACTACATGTACAAGAAACAAAGAATGCGGACTTTGAAGATGACTCATTATTCCAGAAACCGTGTATTAAGCAAGTCAACTTGTCGAATTCAAAAATTGCAAAACTGATGGAGGAGCAGAAACAAGAATCGGCTGCATCTGCCAGAGTTGGAAAATCAAAATTGTTGATAAAGTCTCATAATTCAGCTCTTGACATTAATAAAATTGTGATAAGTGAGGATTGAAAATTATTCAGTATTGGAGATAAATTATGAAATTAGTATCGTTTGACAGAAGTAAGACAATTCAGTTTTTCTTTCAAATTTCATTCTATTTTTGAAATAATTTAACTTTAGTATTAAATAAAGTCGTAATGAAATGAAAGAATATGCTTGTTATTAAATGTAAGAAGCATTGAGATTAATCGCTCATTTCATCGTCGAAAGTCTTAAATTGTTTCTTTATTTTGTTATTGTTAGTTTGTGAAGTCGTGATATAGTTTCATTCTTTTTACTAATATATATTATGTCAACGCGAGTACGTGTTACAAATCTTTCTGTAGTTTTTGTATTTTATTTTTAAACGTGTAGTTCCATTTCTTTCTCAGTATGACAATTTTTTGTCGATAAAAGCTGCAACTTTTTGATCATATTTTCCATTTGTTGAAAAGTCGATTTTACTGAAATAAACTATTTATCTGGAGCTTGCTGTAATTAAAAACTCTGTTTTCATTATTCTCGGTAGCTTGTGTCTCCTACTTTAAATTATGTATGACCCAAGCATTAGCATAATTTATTATTAGTGCACAATTTCGGTTACTGTATGTAAATCACTAATCTACATGAAGTTTGTTAGGATATTTTTCAGTTTCTCACTAGATGGAATTAATCAGTGTTTGATAATAATAATAATAGTTTACAGAATTTATAGAGATTTCGGAGTCTCTCAAGTTCGTGACTTTTCGTGCTTTGAAGAGATCTTGAAGCCAAATGAATGTAATATAATTTCAGGATGTTTCCTAGGAATCCGTTAAAGTTATTACGAATTGTTCAGGATATGGGAAAATTACCGTCTTCAGTTTTGCCGTCAAAAAGACAAGGTGAAAAGTTTGCATGCCACTGGGTTTTAATTTTGCAAAATAGATATATATCATTTATTGGAAGAGGTCCTTTGTCAACTGCAGCTCCACCTTTGTCTTCATCTTCAGCTGAAATACCAGTAAATTTAATTCCGTTGTCAAATTTTTTCTTGTGATATGTAATTAACTTTCGAATAGATTTATTCTCGGCAAAGTGATTGAACTTGGAAATGCTGCACATGTTAAGTGTTTTCAGACTTCTACGGTAGAAGCATCACATGCTGGAGATTTGGAGCTTATTAAACAATTGGAGTTAGGGTCCGTAAAGGATTTTAATTTACTTGATTTTCTTTGGGGTAATTCATTAGTCAACGAATATGATCTTTTTTCATGGTGGAGCCCGGCGTCGTGGTTCCGAGTAGTGCTGGAATATGTTCATTTTAATATTGACTTACCGTGGTGGTCAACTGTTATGTGCAGTAAGTTTTAGTTGTATTATAGAGCAAAATTTTTTCATCGCTCATAGATTAAGATATAGATTTATTTCAGAGATTTTAAGCTTTTATTTGCGAATTTCTGTTCAGTCTAGTTATATATTAATCAGTATCACATGGAGGTTAATCTTCTTTTCTGCGTTATTGATTCTGGTGCGTAATTGTTTTCTGGCAATCTCGCTTTACTAAATTGGCGTTCAGTTCTACTGTGCTAGTTTTCGTTGCTTCGTCCTCGATCAATCCACGGTGCTGATCGAATGAGATGGTTTCGAGCGTCTTCTTGAGCACTGTCGAGTGGATATGTGCCTCCACGTGATCAGATTCACTGATTTCCTTCGCGTAACGTTTATGGAAGTTCGCTAGTATCCCACCCCAAGTCATCACATACGGAATTATTTTTGTTGTGCTTTTCATCCCTGCCCCGAGTTTATTAGCTATGAAATCATATTTTTGCTTCTTATCGGTCTCGACTGCTATCAGCCTGTCTTGATCAGTGATGCCAATTTCTGCCAGGCATATTTCGTGTCGTTCGTGTCGTACGCAAGGATGTTTGGTCGGTCCGCCCTTATTCTAATTTTAGTTCTTTACTCATATGTCGACTCCCATTTCCACGTTCTCATTAGCGCCGATTTCCTGAATGGAATGGCCCTGCATCTGTGAAAATACTTTTTGACTAGTATCATCTTGTGGGGTATTTTTTCGGAATCGTAACCACATTGATGAATTTGACATTAAGGCATTTTGTATAGCTTTGCCCGAGCAGTGTCACCGTTGCATGTGTAAGTAAATCCAACAATCGAAAATTCATTATTGCCCATCTTGTATAGCTTTGCATGATGGGCTTTCTTCTCTATTTCCTATACAGGAGCGCTTTCTGGGGTGCTTTTCTACGATGTTGTATTTACTTTGAAAATGAAGCACAATAAGTGCTAAAAACTTAGTCATCATGCTGGGTTCTTCGTTCCTTTACACTCTCAGATCCTTCAATGAGCTTTTCACATCCTCATCTTTGTTTTGTTGAAGAAAACCCCAAGAAGGACATAACAAAGCAGGCGATCAGTGTACTGGATATAGCAGAACTGAGTGCCGGACTAGTACAGCGAGAGTGGCGGAACACGACCTAACGCAAAAAAGTAGACAGCAAAGAAAAATAACTTCCGACCTGCTGTACATGATATTTTTCTATAGATATAGATATATGTATGAAGTTGCCTTTGTATTTCAGCAACAGCTAGTTTGCGATTCTTGATGTTATTTGTACCAATTGCCTCACATAGACTTATGGGGCGAGTACAGTTATACAAACAAGAAATTGATGAGTATAAAAAAAAAATTGAATCAGCTCAAAAAAGTGGAAACTTTTTGCTAAGTTAGTTTTGTTTTCTCTATGACTTACACTTTATGTTGTAGAATAAGCTTTCAATATCAACGCTTCATCATTTTACTTTATTTATTTTTGTTCAGCAATGCAAGCACAAATGGAGCTGAAAGATTTTCTAAAAGCGAAAGACATCAAGTTATATCGGCAGTTTTTAATCATGAGTCTTAATGCTAGTATCTTCATGACCCAATTTGTTGCCGTCAAAAAATTAGCCGATGTTGCGTAAGTTGAAATGTTCGTTACTGACAGTGGAACTGTCTCAAGTATTTAGACGGAAAAGATAGGAGTTGTAAGTGCTTATGTATCAATTTCTTTCAGATTTCCTGGTTTGAGTACGGGTGGTTTGTTTTGGTTTAAGGATTTAACTGTACCTGATCCGTATTATTGTCTTCCTCTTATTTCAGCTATCACTATTGCTGCGGTATTTAAGGTAAAAATTTCCTTGCAGTTTCATTACTGTTGTATTCTCTTGGTTGCTGCTTTAGTTTTTCATAAAATTTACAATAGCTTGGGGCCGAAACTGGAGGTACTAATCAAGGCATCAATCCTCAATTAATGAAAATATTAACAAGAATGGGTCCAATTATGGTGTTTGCTTGTAGCACTAGAGTTTCTTCGGTAAGTCTTTCTAAGTTTCAGTTTAACATTGGATTTTGTTTAAAGTTCCTCTTTCGTTATTCACAAACTATTAGTATGTTTTTCAATGATTTTCTAGTTTTGAATCTGAAATTTTTGCCACTTCATATGATTCATAGTTTCAGGCTATATCATTATATTGGTGCACTTCAAATGTAATATCTTTATTGTTTTCTGGATTATTCAAATTTTCCGTGGTGCGGACTTTTTTAAAAATACCTCAATTACCAGCAAAGCAAATACAGCCATACGAAAAAGTACTTGGCCGAGATATAAGTCAAATGTTTTCTAGATAGGTTTTTCGTTTCTACTTTGTGTAAATGACACAGGTAAATATGTATCTGTGTGTCTTATAAATTTAACATCGTTTACTCATTCAGCAATATTTCTTGTCTATATCACTTTTTTTTCAAGCAGAGCAATGAGGTAGCAAGTGAAAAAAAAACCGTTGCTGCAAAACGGTAAAAAATCTTGGAAGAAATTGAAGTAGGTTTTTTACATGCATCCATGGCATAAATTTGTTTTTCTTTGTTAAAAAAGGGGTTTAAGCATTGTTTTCATATGTTCTTCATAATTTTCATATAAAAAGCTTACTCACTTTAGTGATGAGGAAACAAATCAAGTATAAACAGCGATCGATTTAAAAAAGATGTTGACTAGTGGAAAGTCGTGAATGTCATTGAATGGATCAAGTTATTTCCTTGTTTTCTACATTTAATTCATTGTTTGAGTGCATGTTCAAGAAATTCTCAATCAGACAGCTTGCTAGGTCATTTTTCAGACAGGTTCTTCGTAGGTCAGCTATGTAGCTTTGATAATAGGTAGAGAATGCTGTTTTTCAATGAATTTGTTAAGTTTGAAATTAATATTTCTTCTAATATTGAATATTGTTTTTCTGTAAATTTTGTTAAAATATTCGCCAGATTTTTGTGTTTGTATTTATTTTTGCAGCTGACTTTATGATTTGTGTATTGTAAGTTATGAAAAAAGGTAAAGATATTTTTTACGTGGTCTGGTTTCTTGCAAGTCGCTTTATACATAATTTTGAAAGAATTTTCATGAAGGATTCCATTTGGTTTTTATCTGTTATTTATTTGTTGGAATTTATCTTTAGAACAGTACGTCATACACATGTTTGAAATTCCTGGTGTCTGACCATGTTGTAAGTCTTTGCGATTAGTACATGTTTTCTATCGGAATATAAATGCATGACTATGTCCGATAATGATTTTGCCGAAATTATATTAGATATTTTTTGATTTGTTACTCTCTATTATGAGACCGCGTGTAGGTTAGTCAATGTCTGGCAGAATCTGTTGTTGAAAACATGACTATTTTTAGGTCTAATTGAAATACATTTTCTATTGGTTGGGCCACTTTGTGATGGTCGTGGCTCTTTATCTGAGAGCATCTCGTTTGCTTATCAGTCGTATGAACTTACCAACTGTTTCTACTGCAACTGCTACATTATTACGCAGTTCATGTGTCCATTTACCTGTGGTTGTTGGTGCACGGCATGCATCAACTGCTAGAGATATCTTCGTTCCTGCTCAAGATGCATTAATGGTTTGTCGTCTAAATCTAATTTTATGTGGAAAATATTTGGGGTATCATACTTTGTACGCTCAATCCAAGCTAGTTCAAGTGAAAATTTCGGATCAAGTCCTTGCATGTTTCTGTATTTCAGATCTTTAACCATACTTTTTACCTCTTTTTCTATATATACTTATGTTCGTGCTTCTAATCTAAATTATATATACAATGCATTTTCAGAACATACCGGATATTCCAATAATAGTTGTGCCTTCCGAAGTTGCAGCTAGCTCAGGCTTTCGGTTTTACGAACACTGGCTTCTGAAACTTGATATATTAGATGTACTGGGTGTAAGTAACTCGTCTATTGTAAATAAAATGGGGATTTTTTCCTGGTATTCTCCCGCCTCTTGGTATCGAATTGGTTTAGAATTTGCACATAACTGTTTTGACTTACCTTGGTTTGCTTCTATTATATGTGGTAAGTAATATGAATATCTCAGTTACAATATATTTCTGCAATATATTTGGATATCTCAGTTGAGTTAAACTTTGCTGGCATTTGGTATAAAACGCTGAAAGTTTTGAGTAAATGAACATTTTTTAATTAGATTAATCATTCAGGTTTTTGGGTTTGCACGGAAATAAAATTTGGTATGTACATGTTTGTAATCTAAATTGGGCTCTCAAATCAGAATATATCAGTTCATCATTACCATATCTTTTACCTTATTTTTGCGCACCTCTACGCTAAAATGTTTTTCAGTCACAATATGTTTACGTCTATTACTTTTACGAGGCACTCTATTCTTGCAAAGATTTACATCTAAAAAGATATTACATGATGAAACATTGAAAATGTTTGCTGAAAAAAAGAAAGAAGCTCGGGAAGTCATTCGAAGTGAAGCATTATGTTAGTATTTTTAGTTTTGAATACACAATTTAAGATCTTATTTTGTTTAATTTTCTGATTGTTCTAAAAGCTTCTTCCTGAAAATTCTGTAATTTTATTCACAAACTTTATTAAGATGGAATTTAGATGATACCATGTAAGTGAATGATAAAAGGTGGAGCCACATTCGGTTTATTTCTAGCTACAAGTTTTTTTTAACATTATTTTTTAATTCTCCTTCTATCAGAGTTCAAATGGATTCCGTCATTCCCTAATACAGTCTCTTCTGTCATTTTCTATAATTTATTGTTTCAGATCGGAAGATATCGCACGATGAAAATATATATATTGATACCTATAATTTAAGATCTTCTAACAGATATTATTATTTGGGTTTAAACTCCATTGTGTTCCTTTCCCAATACCAAGGAATTACTTTAATGGCTAAAAAAAAGTAGCTAGTTTTGAATTTTGGAGAAATGTTTATGATTTGATGATTTCTTTATAGTCGCACTTGAGAAGAGTTGGAGATAAAAAACTCTTAAGTTCTTATATTAGGGGATGAAGATCATTTGTAAAGATAATTATAAGTGTTGACTACCTTATAAGTTGTAGTCGGAATTTTGTAGTCTCTGTTTTAAAATGTCCACTCTCTTTTGTTACTTTTATTAAGAACATTGCAGTTTTCCTGGCTGGAATACTGGTGGTGCTTTATCTTTTCTAGACTTGACGGCAACAGATCCTTATTTTTTGGTTCCAGCTTTATCAGCTCTTCTTATTGGATGCACGCTTTCTGTAAGTTTTCATTGGCCTTTACATGAGTACATGATTGAGCATAGCTGATCAACTATGATTAGTTTTAACTATGTTTTAGCTGGGGTACGATCCAACTGGCGTTGCTTCAGCAAACAAATACGTAAAAGCATTCAAATATGTAGTACTACCTGCTGGTGTTTTCTTTTTTAGTTCAAGAGTTCCTGTAGTAAGTTTATTGTTTCTAAATATCAGATAATAAGGACGAAACTTTAATTTGTGAAAATATTTTGCAGAGGTTGTTACTACGCGCCTACTGGAATCCATAAATCATGATTCCATGTTTCGAGTATTTTTAATAGTATTAAATTCTTTGTAGTCGAAATATTCGTCAATAACTTTTTTTTCTACTCTGTTAGACCAAATTTTAGAAATCTAAAAGATTAGATCATCTGCAAAGATATTAGTTTTTCAAAAGAAAATATCACTTTTAAGTTCCCAGTTTTTTCATTTTAGGCAGTTTCAGTATACTGGTGTTCCTCGAATCTTTTCAATTTAGTGCTTACAACATTTTTACGTCTACCTAAAGTCCGGTATGCTCTCGATTTTCCTGTGAACATGACGCAACCAAGTTCTGCCTCATTCCAGAAAGCATGGAAACGCGCATTCGGTAATGTTTCAATACATAATTTTAGTCGAAGATGAAAGTTATAAGCATTTTTGTCACTAAAAGAACCGTATGGAAGTTTTGAAATGTTATTTTGTAATTATTTTAGCTTCCAAAAATTATGAAAACCTGTCTGGTAGGTTTTTAATGAAATTAGTTACAGAATACGGAGCAAACCTTCATTGTGGTATTCTTTTGAGATATTTACTTTTGTTTTTACGTGTGATTGTCAGGTTGGAAGCAAGAGAAAGAGAAGTTAGCACGATCGCGACCGGTACTGTGGGAGGTCATTCAACGACGAGATTTAGATAGATTTGCCAAGGCCAGCAAAGTAGTTGTACCAAAAGACGATTGAAAGTCATGATATTATGAAATCTAAAAATGAATTGTACTACTTATTTCAAATTTTTTTACTGCTAATAAAATTTTCAAATATTCATAAGAGTTATTCATTCCCTTTCCATCTTACTATGGCAAAAGATTTTTTTGGATTTGATTTGGATCGAAGGTTAGATCAGACGAAAACTGATCCATCCATTGGACGAAGACAGTCTTCATCGTATTTATACAAATAAACAGAAAGTTCAATACCGAGCACAAATCGTAATGAACTTTTGATCGAATATTAAGATCGAATGGGCGAAGTTCATGTTGCATTCACTGGTAATTTGCAGCATGCCATGATATGAACAAAATATTAGAAAATTACTTTTACAATGCTGTTGAAATGCTAACGCAATAATTTCTTCACGAATCACTTATTCAGGCGAACTTTTTATATTATATAGTGAATTAGACGGTTGTACTGTAAAAGTCACAGAGGAAAGGGATGTTAGACTCCCGCTTGTTAGTCGGGAATCACTTTTATGCGTCAAATCATCTGTTAATAAAAATCATTTATCTAATGTGTACAACAGAATTTCCTATATGTATAACCTGTGGGCGTTATAGAAGAGCTCACTGTAAAAAATTAAAGTGAGTCCATTTTACGACTTTTAATAATAAAAAGTTCTAAAATGGACTCACTTCAATTTTTTCGCTTTCTAATCATGCATGTCGGGCTGTGGGTATCTTCAATTATTACTGACAAAAATATGTTAAATTTCTCATAACTGATGTGACATGTTTGTTGAGATTAGTTGCAGTGAAATGTGTGTACAATTTCTTGGCTATTTTTTTGTCCCCTATATATCACATACAAATCTCAGGAAACAGGATACCACAGCGAGGTTTATCAGGATACCGCGATTTTATTCACAATGCTAACAATCGTAATCAGCTTCCCTGGATAGCAACAAGGTTCTATGCTTGCTTTTCCGTGTTCTATCATTTTCTGGCTGTTCATTTGTTATACATCCCCAACTTAACTCTTAAGCAACTTGAATGGGATTATATATTTTTTCCAGTCAACTAAATCCCCTCTACGAATAAACCTTTGCTCTCGCAATGCTTTTTACGACTACAGAAAACAAAATAAATTTTTATCGCAGTTACTTTTGCATTTGACATTCCCAAACACCTCTTGCTTTTCTGCTAAAAGAACGAACAGCTTAATTAGTTCTCACGTGATAGAGCAGAAATATTAAATGCTGAAAATTACTGAAAGCAAAACTGAGTCTTTCTCAGCAACCGGACATGAATAAATCTTTTAAGTGTGTTTTTCGTACTTGTGAATCAGATAATTTTCACGGCTGCAACTACGCAACAACAAGTTAATTTAAACGTGACCTTCATTCTCAAAAGAAGATACTATCTGACTGCTTTTTTGCAGCAGCTAACTCTCCTCTTTGAGCTAAGTTTTTCAATAAAAGCTCACTTTAATAAAAAAGTATGGATGTATTGGAAGTTTCAGTATGCAACTGAGTAAAATTCGAATCTCAAGTTTCGAATACCTTCCCCCCTTCCACAAATTTGCTTCATTTGATAATTATTTACATGCAATGAAGATTAAGTACTTATTACTATAAAAGTTTTTATTGATAAAGTAATTTAAATGATAGATTCAATTTACTCAATTAACAATCAGTATTTTACTTGATAAGCATAATATGAAATCACTTCATTATTTTCAATACTCTCGATAACTCTTTTTAGCACAGGTTCTGAGGCCATATCCACTGCGACTCAGTCTCTCTTGCCTTTCTTCGTTACTTTCTTCCCCAATTTTGCTAAATATAAATTTCAAAGTTGAAATAAGCAATCCGAAATATATCAAAAATACTAATCTTTTATTATTTTTGATTTTCTTCTCCATTAAATTGTGTAACTACCAGCTCTATTACAACTTTAATGCAAATAAACTCACTTAAATTTTATATTAAAAAAAGAGATTCAAATTTAAGCCTCCCAAAAAATTACACCACGAAATGTGGTCAGTACAACTTTTCCGTCCACATCTTTACTTTACATTCATTGCTTGCTATTGACCTGTTAAACGTGAAATCAGTGTTGATAGAGGAAACTATTTAAATTTGAATTTGCTAAGTGACTTACTTATGTGTAAGTTTATGCAAATGATTAGCAAATGTTTGAAAAAAAGACTGGCTTTTTTAGCTAAATTTTGTCGTTGGCAATCAAAATTGAATGAATCTTTTCAAATCAGATTTTTATGTAAATATTGGTTTCTGTCGTTAGCAGTAGAAGTTATAAGGGTCTTATGCTACTAACTTATGTTTATTACTAATTGTCTCATAACCTTTTAGAGTTTATAACCTAACATTTGCTAATATATGTCAGTCAATCGTTTTATAAGTTCTTCAATCATTTTCTTGATTGAACTAATTTATAAATAAATCATTGACGACTTAATAAAAAAGACAAAGATTTCGATTTATATTTTTTGAAGCTGAATATGAAAATGAGAATAACGATTAACCGTTGAGAAATAGCAAGGCTAATATTCGTTGATACATATTCAGGATTCAATTGAGCCTTTATGTTCTCCGATAATTCGGTAATCAAATACTCTTCTTGCGTCAATTCATGCTGAAATTGTTCAAATAATTTAAAACAAATATGAGAGAAGGATATAAAACTTGTAATACGAATAAAAATTATTACAAATTTAATAATCAGTTGCAAATAAATCGGATGAATTAAAAGCATTTCGGATATTTGGAGCAAATCATTTCCTTGGAGAAAGAGACTGTATGCTGTTAGCATCGGTTTTGAGCACGGTTCATACCGATCATAGATGTTTACAAAGCTAAAAAAGTAGCGGATAATTGAGATAATCATTGAATATTAAATGGAACTTCATTGAAGAACTAATTTTCTGACTCATTACTTGCATTAGAGCTTTGTTAATTTGAAACTAATCGTAATGTCTTATGTATTACTTTAAAATATAGAAAAAAAAATAGATATTTGGGAAGAAAAATATTTACTACAATCTACATTGTAATTTTAATTTCAGTAATCGAAAATTTTTGCTTACAGAGATCAGTCCAACTGTGAGTTAATTATTACCTTGCATTGGTGTCTGGCAAGTCACTTATATTCACAATTCGTTTGCCACATTCACGTATTGCAATTTTTGCAGCATTTTCTAGTTCATAAAAGTACAGTGAAGCCTAAAAACTCAAAAGACACTGATAAAAATAGCTTACAATATAATTGAGAGAAATCAATTTATGATAAAATCATTAAAAGTTGACTTTTAATCAGTGTTAATTTTTGTTAACTTGAATTGAATTGGAATATTTACAAGAACATGTATAGTTAATAAATAGTCATATGCGAAATGAATTAACTACAACTTTTATAGTTTGTAGATGAAGGTATTCTCCAGAAGGTAAACCAAAGTATTGCGCTACTATCTTGTATGACCCAACAAAGCTAATTGTTCTCAAAGCCTCCTTGAGGACACTGTCGTCTTCGAGGTTTTGGCTTGTTTGTATTCTAAAATTGTTGAAGCATTCATTTATCACTTTTCTTATTACTAATGAATTACAACTTATACTCTAAACTGTTGGGTATGTGTCGAAAATTGCATCTCAATTAACCATATTGCATTTAAAAATTTTTGATTTCAGCATGTTATTGCATAAGTTAGCAAAAGAATTTGCATAATTTAGATGTTTATTGTAGAAAAAAATTAAGAGATTACTTTGCTTGCGAAGAAGTGCTGGCTTTCGGATTCATCAAATCATTATGTATACTTTTCTTTTCAATATACCATTCATAAAGATCAGGTGACAAGTACCGCTATAAATTTTTAATTTATTCCTCACACTTCACGTACTATTAATTAATTAACTTGTGTTAGAAATTCTTTAATTTCATTATTAGTTTTATAAGTTGGATGAAAACGATGCTAAATTGAAAGAGGTGATCAACACTTCCAGGCTTACACTTTTTAATACTAAATTTTGTCAAGCAGCGTTATCAGGTTACAAAAAAATTCATCAAATGCTATTAGAGCTCAAATGTTGATGAAAGTTACCTTCAGAACTTCCTGTATTAGAGATTGTTCATTTTTTTGATCTGGGGTAAGCTCCTTCTGCATTACAGGTTGTTTGGCAGGTGAAGATTCTTCATTTCTTCGATTTGGCTTTAGTTTTTTTACTTTTACAATCGGATACAATGATAACTCACTTAATATGCTTATCTGCAAAAAATCATACAACTCGGATAAAGATTCATAAAAATTCATTTTTTAAGAGAAATTTTTGCATTTATACAATGATAGAAATGATTGCTGTACTGTATGAAGTCCAGTCGTTGAATTAGTAGACGGAAGTTCAGATTCATTTTTATTTGTGAGAAGTTCCACCATTGTTTTACTTTTATTTGTCTTATCACTGAGGTCCTTTGGTTCACTTTCACCTGAATCACTGTCCTACAAAAAAATTAAAAACAAAACAAAATTAATATTACCACAGTTTTAAAAAAAATTAACCCACTATAAAATTATCAATAAATAATGATTTCTGAAGATTAGCATCGATCTGAAAACCAATTTTAATCAGTCAAATTTTAATATTTTAAAACTTAATAAGACCTTAGCTTAAAACTTTCATTTGCTTTCAATCATTACTAAAACAAAAAATTAAAATTTGCATTTACAACTAAAATCTCTATATTTGATACTAAGCAAACTGCCTTCAATATTAATTAACTTACCAATATAAAGTTATCAATTATCAATTTGTCAGCTTCTGAGAGAACTTCATCACTATAATCTTTAAAGTCAGTTGTTGCTGATTCAGGAACAGAATACAGAACTGATGGGACTGGATTCTGTAAACGAATGCATACCACTTGTTGAGCCATTTAATAAAATCTTATCTTACTTCTAAAGTTCATTATATCGTTGTATCACGTTCATAAATTTTAAAATCTGATTCAAGTGCTGAATAAAATTTCAAGCAATAAATTTAACATTTCTCTGTATATATATTAATAAATTATGCTTTCCATCTTTACTTGATAATATCCACTTTCAGTCATTGTAAACTGCAATGGCGCTATGACTTCTTCACTGCATAGTCGCTTCCTATGAGATAATGATGATTCCAATTGATTTTTATCAGAATTCTGTAATACATATTGATTATACACGTTTTTTCTTACATCTTTCATCGATAACTTATTTTTGAAGAACTAAAGTAATTGAAACTTTAAGTAATTTGTAATATATTTACCGAGCATATACAGTAATAATTATATACATTACATTACTTCTGCGCAGTCTAACATATTG